AGGGCCTTCTCGGTAGTGGTACCCGCCCTGTGGAACGCCCTCCCACCAGATGTCAAAGAGAAAAACAACTACCAGACTTTTAGAAGACATCTGAAGGCAGCCCTGTTTAGGGAAGCTTTTAATGTTTGATTCATTACTGTATTTTAATATTTTCTTGGAAGCCGCCCAGAGTGGCTGGGGAAGCCGAGCCAGATGGGCGGGGTATAAATAATAAATTAATATTATATTATTATTATTCAGGATGGATAAAAGAAAGTATTTATTTACTCAGCGCATAGTTTAACTATGGAACTCACTCCCAAAGGAGGCAGTGATGGTCACCAAAAGCAACTGGACAGTTTGATGGAGGAGCGGGCTGTCGATGGCTGCAAGCCACAATGGCTTCGAGGCAGCAAGGCTTCTGAATACCAGGTGCGAGAAGGAGGAGAGAGGATTGCTCTTGTGCTCAGTTCATGCTTGCAGGTTTCTCATTGGTTGACCATCATGAGAAGAGGATGCTGGACTGGATGAACCCGTGGTCTGATCCAAAAGTCTCTTCTTATGCTCTTATCCACAGGAATACTGGTTTAAACCCTGTGCTCCCACACAGTTGGCAGGTATTAGCATCCATCTTTTGAAAGAGCACACGGAATTGTTTGCTGAGAGAGAGAGAGGGAGAGGGCAACCAGGTCATTTCACAGCAACCCATGAAGGTCGCAACTAAGCGGTCTCCTGAGACCTGAGCAGGATGCATCCCGCCACTTCTTTCTGGTCTCTGGGTTCAGGTAGAGTCATCTATCAAGAGCGAACCTTTGAAGGAAGTCAGAGAGAAGAACGGATGTGTCAGGAGGGGGCTGAGTGATTGATTTGCTGGGAAAGGCTCCAGCCTTTGGAGGGATGGATGTTTCTAGGTTATGACGGAGCCCTTTCCTTTTATGAGTAATCATGAAGGATTGGGGAAGGGCTGTTGCAGGCAGGGCAGAGGCTTTGGACCATAGAAATGCAGAGTTGGTGGGGACCTCAGGGGTCCTCTAGCCAACCCCCTGCAAATGCAGGAATCTGAGCTGAAGGATTGCCGTGATGGTGCTCTGCACATGTCCAGAAGACTGGTCTTATACTTTTAGAAGTAATATATTCATTGTGACAACATACATACATACATACATACATACATACATATTTATACCCCGCCATTCCCGGTTCAGAAAACCGGGCTCAGGGCGGCTAACAACAAATTTAAAACACTTAATTGATGCAACAAAAAAACGGCATAAAAACGTGATTAACAAAAAAATCAGAATTCAATAATCAATTGAGGGGGGAAATCCATCCAATAAACATTAGATGATCACCAGGGCTAGCTGGCTAAATTAGGCCTATTTGGGCCAGCGAGGAGACCAGGAGAGAATTAGCTGTGGGATCCCATAGTGGGGAATCTTCATAAAAAGGGGAGGGAAGGAAGGAGAATAAAAGATCAGGCTAAGTTCAAATTGACAGCCAGGTGGAATAGCTCTGTCTTACAGGCCCTGCGGAAGGAAGTGAAATCCTGCAGGGCCCTAGTCTCCTGGTGGGGGATAATCTGCCCTGGCCCTGGTGGGGGATAATCTGGCTTCCTTAGGGCCCGGGACCTCTAAGCTATGGTTATTCATGGACCTTAATGTCACTTTGGCTATATAAACTGTAGAATAATACAATTGTAGATTTGGAATGTAACCCCAAAGGTCATTTCGTTCAGCCCCCTGCAGTGCAGGAATCATAGCTAAAGAACCACTGGCAGGTGGCCATCCAAGCTCTGCTTAAACACCTCCCGTCAGCCCACCACCTTGCTGCACAAGGCCACAATCCTGCACCCACTTCCTCCTGATTACACATGGGTAGGACTGTGCTGCAATGCTTTCCTGACCACTGACTGGCAACCTCTGCTCCTCCATGAACTGAACACGTGGGTGGGGTGCTCTGCTTTTTCATTTCTGGAAGATTCTGGGTCACTCATTAAGCCCTAGGAAATTGTTGGTGCCAGCACCAGGGGAAGTGGGGGGCATCACTTCTGTGGCTGCGAGGAAGGAGCAGGTCAGGTTGCAGCTTGGAGACTTAAAGAGCTGGTAGCAAAATTAGAGGGCATAAACCATTCATCCAATCAGCCCTTCAGTTGGCTGGAGCATTGGGCTAGGCTCTCACTTGAACCGCTCAGTGTATGCAGTTTCCAGTTATAGTCACAAGCAAACGGCATTGTTAGCAAGCATATAGCAAGTAACTGCCCTATGTGGCCTAGGACACACATACCTACGGGACTGCTTCTCCCCTCTCCTGGTATGCCTCAGGAGGACCTTAAGGTCCACAACTGACAACACTTTGGAGGTCCCAAGTCGCAAGAGGGTTGGATTGGTCTCAGCCAGGGCCTTTTCAGTACTGGCCCCAACTTGGTGGAACGCTCTGTCACAAGAGACCATGGCCCTGCGGGACTTGACATCTTTCTGCAAGGCCTGCAAGGCAGACCTGTTCCGCCTGGCCTTCGGTTTGGACTCAGTCTGACCCTTATGTTTCCCTCCCCTTATGGTCTTGATTTATCGGCTACTTTTAAAATGAGGCTGCATTTTAAATTGTATTTTAACCTGTATTTTTAATTGGGTGTCCCCCCCCCATTATGTTTTTATTGTAATTTTACTGGTGTTAGCCACCCTGAGCCCAGCTCTGGCAGGGGAGGGCAGGGTATAAATTATTATTATTATTATTATTATTATTATTATTATTATTATTATAGCATGGGTAGGCAGACCAAGGCCCGGGGGCTGGATCCGGCCCAATCGCCCTCTAAATCCGGCGTCTGGGCGGTCTGGCAACCAGTGTGTTTTTACATGAGTAGAATGTGTGCTTTTATTTAAAATTAATCTCTGGATTATTTATGGGGCATAGGAATTCGCTCATTATTCCCCCCCCCCCAAAAAAAATATAGTCCAGCCCCCCACAAAGTCTGAGGGACAGTGGACTGGCCCCCTGCTGAAAAGGTTTGCTGACCTCTGCTCAAAAGATAGGAATTAGGACCCTTCCATGAAGCCCAGATAAAGCCCCCCTCCCTTCACTTTGGAGGATTACTTACTTATTTATTTAATCATGGTTACCGTTCATTAAATTTATATGACGCTAGACTTTGTGGACATCCGATGAAGCTGAATGTTGTAAGATTCAGGACAGATAAAAGGAATGACTTCTTCACTCAGCGCCTAATTAAAACTGTGGGACTCCCTTCCCAAACAGGCCGTGATGGTGACCAACTTGGATGACGAAATCATGGGGAGGAGTGGGCTACCAGTGTCCACTAGCCATGTTGGCTCTTCTCTGCCTGGACACCAGTTGCTGGAAGCCAGAGGAGGGGAGAGGTCTGGTTGTGCTCAGGTCCTGCTTGAGATTTTCCCACAGGCCCTTAGGGCAGACTGCCTGCGGTGGTGGGCTCTCCTTCCTTGGAGTAATAATAATAATCATAATTTATTATTTATACCCTGCCCATCTGGCTCGGCTTCCCCAGCCACTCTGGGCAGCTTCCAACAAAACGTTGAAATACAGTAATGCATCAAACATTAAAAGCTTCCTTAAAGGGCTGCCTTCAGATGTCTTCTAAAAGTCTGGTGGTAGTTGTTCTCTTTGACATCTGGTGGGAGGGCGTTCCACAGGGCGGGTGCCACTACCGAGAAGGCCCTCTGCCTGGTTCCCTGTAACTTGGCCTCTCGCAGCGAGAGAACCGCCAGAAGGCCCTTGGCGCTGGACCTCAGCTGAATGATGGCGGTGGAGACGCTCCTTCAGGTATACAGGACCGAGGCCGTTTAGGGCTTTAAAGGTCAGCACCCACACTTTGAATTGTGCTCAGAAACGTCCTGGAGGTTTTGACACGGAGGTTGGATGGCCACCTGTTAGTGATTCCTTACCTGTAACTCCTGCATTGCAGGGGGTTAGACTGGATGACTCTTTAGGGGATCCTAAGACTACAACTGGATGATCTGGTTGGCCATTGTGAGAACAGGATCCTGGGTGAGGTGTGCCACGGGCATGATCCAGCAGCCAGGCTCTTCTTACATCTATCTGCTTTTGGGGAGATCTCTTTGGACCACCAATCTGACACCACCTCACCACTTGTCCCAGGCCCTGAACTGCGGGGTCCATGGCACCGCTCCTCCGCGTTCCTCACAGTGCGCAGCGGGTGCTCATTTGCTTGCTCACAAGCGCACGGATGTTGACATTTTCGGCAGCTGTGGCTCCCTTCCCCAGCTACAGAGCAGCCAATCAGCAGCCGCGGGAGCCAGATCAAGCTCAAAGCTCACAGTGTGTGTTTGTGTGCCTCTGCTGCTTTGGCGATGCTGAGCGGGGGCCAGAGGAGGGGAAGGGAGGTGGGATGGGCGAGGAGGGGGGAACCAGGTGGTTGGGAGCAGTGAGAGAGGACCCCCCCCCCGTTCAGTTTTTCCTTTTCTCAAGCTTTTTCGGCACAGAATAGGAGGTGCCCAGCTCGCGCCTGACTTCTCCCGCAGCAGATGTTCCATGCCAGGCCACAGCTGCGAGGCGGTGATGGGGCAGCGATGGAAGTCCCTTTTGGTGAGGCTTGGGGAGGGGAGGAGGGGACAGGACTGATCTCTGTTCCGGAGAAAGCAGCATCCCCAAAAGCTTAACCCCTTTGCGCCTCTCCTGCAACGGCCTTTTGGAGCGTTGGTAGCTGCCTGCACGGACACTAACAGCAGATATTCCCTGGGGTTTTTCAGGCAGGGGATTTTAGAAATTGGGGCTGGGACCTTCTGTAGGCAAACATGGGCTCTGCCACTGAGCTGTAGCCTTCCATGGAATTTAAGGTATGTTGGTCTTTGCCAGCCCTTCCCCAGACTTGCTGAGAATTGAATTTTTTTTGGGGGGGGGGGGACCTTCCACACTCAAAGCGTCAGCTCCCGGTGTCTGAGCTGTCAGCCTTTAAACTGTAGGCTCCCTGGGGCCAGGGAGCTATCTCCTTTCCCTTCTGCATGTACAATAGAGAGGCGTCACGATCCATAATGGTGTAGTGGTTAGCATTTCTGACTAGGACATAGGAGACCAGGGTTCAAATCCCTGTTGGGCCATGAAGTTCTCTGGTGTGACCTTGAGCTGGCTTCTCAGCCCAGCCTACCTCACAGGGTGGTGGCGAGAATTAAACTGAGGAGGGGGAGGACCATGTAAGCTGCCTTGAGTTCCTTGGAGGGGAAAAGGTGGGATATAAATGCAATTAATAATAATGATAATATTTAATGATTGCTCAGTACCCAGTTTAAATAATAGAGTTGCACCATCTGATGAAGAAGCGTTGCCCAGTTTCACCCTAGGAGAGCCATACTTTAGCCCAACCTAAGAACTTGGGACTTAGGCGCAGAACCTTCTTCTGCCTCTCCCTCCACACAACATAACATCCCAAGCCTCCATGCTTCTTCCGTTTCCAATGTGTCCCCACATCAGTTTCTGGATTGTAAATCCCTTTCAGCAGAGACCTGTTCTATACTTTGCAAGCGCCAAGGACATGGATGTGCCATAGGAACCCTTATTATTAAGAACAGGCAATGGATGGATTTAATTAGCTGGTGCAGTTTGTATCTGGGCACAGCCAATTGTCTGGAAGCAAAAAACGCTATGCTCTCTTCTTCTCTTTTGATGCATGTGGTCTTATTGAAAGGGTTTCCCATCTGGAAGAGAGATCCAGTGCGGTGCGGTGGTTAGAGCGTTGGATTAGGACCTGGGAGACCAGGGTTCAAATCTCCACTCAGCCGTGAAGCTGACTGTAGGGCCTTGGGTGCCAATCGCTGCCTCTCAGCCTAACCTACCTCACAGGGTTGCTGTGGGGATTAAATGAGAGGAAGTACCTAACATATAGGGACGCGGGTGGCGCTGTGGGTTAAACCACAGAGCCTAGGACCTGACGATCAGAAGGTCGGCGGTTCAAATCCCCGTGATGGGGTGAGCTCCCGTTGCTCGGTCCCTGCTCCTGCCAACCTAGCAGTTCGAAAGCACGTCAAAGTGCAAGTAGATAAATAGGTACCACTCTGGCGGGAAGGTAAACGACATTTTCGTGCGCTGCTCTGGTTCGCCAGAAGCGGGTTAGTCATGCTGGCCACATGACCCGGAAGCTGCACGCCGGCTCCCTTGGCCAATAAAGCGAGATGAGTGCCGCAACCCCAGAGTCGGTCACAACTGGACCTAATGGTCAGGTGTCTCTTTACCTTTACCTTTACCTAACATATGCCAGCTTCAGAAAAAAGGTAGGGTGGAAGTGGAATGCAATGCAATAGTATAATAGAATAGAATAGAATAGAATAGAATAGAATAGAATAGAATAGAATAGAATAGTACCATAATTTGGGTAATAAGAAAATAGGAACGCAGATGTGATGATGGTACTTGGCGTCTTAATTTTGTGTGTATGGGACCTTCTGCATGCAAAACAGGTGTTCCACCACTGAGTTATGGCTCTTCCATAAAGTTCTGTTCTTGCCGGGTGTTCCCTTCCTCCTTATGGGGTGCCTTCAACTTCCTGCATCATCCCTGGAGCCCTAATTTCAAGTTTACAACCCATTCCAATGATCCAAGGGAGGGACGAGGGGGAAACAGATGGTTGTGAAAATCTACACTGGCTTTTGTCACTATCTGCAGGGAGGTTTTCATTTATCCTGCGTCTTTGCTCTTTTCCAAGACACCCCGAGTATTTGTTTTCTTTTAAGCTGCTCTGGGACCTCAACAATGCCCATTCTGTCCTTGCTGCATTGTTGTGGCTGACTTAAAATTATTCCCATCATTGTCCAAAGAAACGAGGGGCGGGAAATGTTCTGGAGCAGCTTCCTTTCCTTGTCTGTGAGCGGGAAAGGATCACACAACAATCTTCAGCAGATTTTCATTCAAACCCAAGAATGTAAAATTATTATCATTATTAATTACCCACCCTTTATCTTAAGGTCACAGGGCAGGTTGCAGCACTAAAACACAGCATTAGAAACTGTTTAAAACAGCCTACAATCACAAAAAATAAGGTGTACTCTAAAAAATATGCACTCCTCAAGTGTCAAAAGGCATTTGCGGGAAGGCGAATAATCAAGGTGCCTGACACACCTCTCTCCGGAGGGAGTTCCTACCAGCTGTTGCCGATCCTCTCAAATCTGCCTTTCCTTTCCCTGAATTCCCTGCTTGATCTCGCACGACCAAAGGTCCCATTCAGTCAGCCTTGACCATGAGCCCAAGAAGGTTAGTAGCCTGCAAACATGTTTGCTAGCCCAGTGGAGCACACACACCTTCCTGCTGCCAGAGAGGACGTAGTGCTCTTCCCTTCTCTGTGTGCTCACTCACCTGCACATATGCAATTCTGGGTTACCTGTGGCTACCTGGCTAATGCTTAAATGCAAGGGTGCACCGTGAGCCACCCTAGCTTGTGACCTACCAAGCCCCACACAGCCCCACCAACTGCGTTTGGCAGCCCCTCCTACTTCGGCTTCCAAAGAGAGAAGGTGCTCTCTCAAGCCCTTAATACAGTCATGCCTCGGGTTACAGCCACTTCAAGTTGCGTTTTTTCAGGTTACGCACCCGCCGAAACCCGGAAGTACCGGTACGGGTTACTTCCGGGTTTTGGCGGTCTCGCATGCACTGAAGCGCTAAATTGCACTTTGTGCATGCACAGAAGCATCAAATTGCAACCCGCGTGTGCTGCGGGTTGTGAACGCTGCGGGTTGCGAATGTGCATCCCTCACGGATCACATTCGCAACCCGAGCGTCCACTGTATAGCCAACGGATTTCATTAGACACAGTGGTGTTCAAATTTTTTTCAAAGAGGGCCAGATTTGGTGAAGTGAAGGGCCGTGAGGGCCAACCAAAGAGCCAACCAAAGTTGTTGAGCTTTTTTTTGAGTTAGCAGGCTTCTATTTAATGTGTTAGCAGGCTTCTATTTAAGATCTCTATTCTATTTAAAATCTCTGATCCTCAGAATCTTGGTTTTTTAATGGTGCTTATTGCTTTTTAACCCAATCCTATTGTTTTATCTCATTTTTTTTACGCTCGTGAGCTACTTTGGGGACCTGTATGGGTGGGAAGGGCTGTAGATCAGGGAAGAAGGTCGCCGGTTTGAGCCCCGCTAACCTCTCCAGGTGGGGCTGGGAGAGACCCCCTGCCAGAAATCCAGGAGAGCCTGGTGGACAATATTGAGCTACTGCCCATCAGGGTAAAGCAGGCTTCCTCAACCTCGGCCCTCCAGATGTTTTTGGCCTACAACTCCCATGATCCCTAGCTAGCAGGACCAGTGGTCAGGGATGCTGGGAACTGTAGTCTCAAAACATCTGGAGGACCGAGATTGAGGAAGCCTGGGGTAAACAATACTGAGCAGGATGGGGCCAGTGGTCTGACCAGGTACAATGTACGTGTTTTTGTGTTTTGGTATTGTAAACTGACCCTTGGATGATGGGCAGTATAGAAATTTGATAAATAAATAGTGACACAGGTTGTTACATTCCTAAATACAATCCAGGTGTGCTGTTGGTCCAATCTGACACTTCTTTTTTCAAGGGCTATTGTGGAAAGCGGTGCTTAGTCCTTCCCGTGGTGCTGGAAGGGTGTGGCTCTGATCCTCACTGTTCTTGCCTTCCTCTCCCTCCAGATCCCATCTAATGCCCAGGCTGAAGGAATCTCGCTCCCACGAGTCACTGCTCAGTCCAAGTAGCGCTGTGGAGGCCCTGGATCTCAGCATGGAGGAAGAAGTGGTCATTAAGCCTGTTCATAGCAGCATCCTGGGGCAGGATTTCTGCTTCGAGGTAAGGCGCACCCATTGACATCCGGGAAGGCTGCTGGCTGGATGCCCTGCTTTCGGGGTGGGTGGGTGTGCACTCCTGAGAGTTTGACCCCTGTGGGAAACGGGAGGTTGGACTCAGCGGACCTTTGGCCTGACCCAACAGGGTTGCTTTTATGTTCATTTTGAGCCATGACAATCACTTATGTATTGGCTTGTTTTATTGCCGGGGGGGGGGGTTGTACCCCGCTTTCCATCCCAAAAGCCTGCCAGGGCGGCTTGCATAGAATCAGAATGAGGCAGTCCCTGCCCTCGCAGACTTGCACATTTCCCTTTAAAAAAAAGAAGAAGACTGTAACACACAAGGGGTAAGCTGCAGGGAGGGAAAAGGAAAAAGAAAAACCCAGGCACAGATTCCTATCATAATCACCTGGCACAGTTCAGGGGCTGGTGGAGCTGGGGTTTCGGCAAAGCTGGTGGAGTGAGCTCTTCTGCTTCCCATCTGCCCCTGTAAGGCAGTTTCATAGAATGGCTGCCCCCCAGATGACAGGTGAGGTGGGAGCAGGCCGATGGGGCTGACCTGTCACACCAGTTGGGAGTGGAGCCTCCATAGTCAGAGGCAGTCTGCCTCAGAACCTAAGGGTGGGGCTGCTGCTGCTTTCACAGAACCATAGAATTGTAGAGTTGGAAGGGATCCTGAAGGTTGGTCCACCCCTCTGCAATACAGGGATATTTTGTCCATTGTGGGGTTCGAACCCATGGCCCTGAGATTAAGTATCTCATGCTCTATTGAGCGAGCTATCCCAGCTGCCCTGCTTGGCAGCTTCTCAGAGCCATCTGCCTGGTCACTCCTGCAAGCATAATGGTGCTTGCTTGAGAGTAGGGCAGTGCCTCAGTGGCAGAGCAACTGCTTGGTGTGCAGAAGGTCTGAGGTTCAGTTCCCTGTGGCACCTCCAGGTAAGCCTGGAAGAGCCTCTTAGCCTGAAACCCTGGAGAGCTGCTGCCAGTCAGTGCAGACAATACTGAACTAGATGGACCAAACCTATGACTCTGTATAAACCAGCTTCTTTTGTTGCTATGATTTGGTTGGCTCCAACAGGGTTCTTTTGTTCTGTTCATACAGCAATCATCTGTAATTAAATCCACGTTAAGAATTTTAAAAAATATTTCTAAATGTGCTTTTACTGGAAATGTGTGCACTTCTTTTTCTTATCCATTGTGGTACATTTTTTTCTGAGTTGGAGAGTACAGTGCAAAATTCAGATAGGTGTGAAATCCAAAGAAAAATTTTATTCCGAACTGTATATTAATCCAGGAGATGCAAATGGGTTCA